CAACTAGAAACAATGTTTAATATATAAAGTTTTATTTTGAAATGTAAGTCAATAATAATTGGCCGAAGCCAGAGCCAATAGTGAAAGTCTTTGCGCGAAGAGACCCCGCCCCATTTTGGAGGTTCTGCCCACTTTTGGAGTTCACACCCCATTTTGGAGATCTCCGGTCTGCAGTTATATCTACTTGTAGTTGGTAATGACCACACGTCCAAATTGTAGAATCTGGCGAAGGTATTCTGCGAAGACCATCCAGCCGCCATACAAATATCTTTGATAGAAACGCCCTTAGTCCACGCCCACGAGGAGGCAACCGCCCTCGTTGAATGGGCTCTGACACCAATAGGACATTCCATTCCCCGGCTGGAATATGCCAAGGCAATAGCTTCGACCACCCAATGTGATAGCCGTTGTTTGAAGACAGGCTGCCCTTTGGCGCTGCCTCCATAGCATACAAACAGCTGCTCAGATTGCCGAAACTGAGCCGTGTGGTCGATGTAAACTCGCAAAGCCCTCACCGGACAATTTACAAGCGTACAGGCGTCTCGTAGAAGGGGCTCGCGCCTCCGTAATCGTGTCCATCATGTGGCGAGACAACGAGCCCGGGTATACTGGTTCCCACACACCATCCACACCTGAAGTTTCCACCATTCTGGGTTGGGGTGCCATACGGATCGGCCACGGGGGAGCCGTTAGTATTTCCAGCAGATCGGGAAACCAGGGCATGTTCGGCCAGTACGGAGCAACTAATAACACTGACGCCTTCTCCTCTCTGATTTTGTGTAGCACTTGCGACAAAATCTTCAGCGGGGGGAACGCATACAGATGGGCATTCGGCCACGGCATCGTGAGTGCGTCCCCGCCTAGTGGAGAGCGTGACAGAGAGAAGAACAGAGGGCAATGCATGTTCTCCTCTGTCGCGAACAAGTCTACCTCCGCTTTCCCGAACCGTTCCGAAATCAGCTTCACTGTCCCAGGGTTCAGTCTCCATTCTCTGTGAGGAATCCCGTCCCTCTATAGCATATCCGCGCCGCTGTTCAGGCAGCCCAGAACATGCGCTGCTCGAATGGAGAGCAGATGGTGATCGGCCCACAGCAAAAGGCGTGCTGCCTGTCTGTAAAGGGCTCTCGAGTGTACTCCGTCCTGGCGGTTTATGTACGATACCACCGAGATGTTGTCCGTGCAAATCAACATGTGATGCCCCCGGACTTGCGTGAGTAAACTCCGAAGAGCCAAAAAGACCGCTCTCAGCTCGAGGCGATTTATGTGCCACATTCTCTCCGACTCTGTCCAGTAGCCCGAGGCTGGTAGCCGTCGCAGTGTGCTCCCCAGCCCATCGTCGACGCGTCCGTCGTGACCACTTTCCGCCGCGTGACCAGACCCATCTTTGCCCGGAATGGACCGCCATGCGCTCGCAAAAAGACACAGAGGGCGGCGCGCCTCGTCCTCTGAATTCTGAACAACGCCGCTGTATGCAGGGGTCGTATTCAGAAAGCTCACAGGACGAGTGGGAGCACTGTATGTTAGCGAGGGTCGTGCCTCGCCGATCAAAGGGGAGCGCAAGCCTTCTGCTGAATGTTTGAGCGACACGGACGTGCGTATGTGCGAGGTGTCGGGAGCGAGCCGTGGCTGCTGGGGTCCGACACCGGCCACAGGGGTGTGAGCCTCGCCAGATACACGGGGAAGCTGCAAGCCTGACTTGTGTGAATCCGCTATCACTGGAGGAGGAGAAAAAAGCTCTTTTTGTGAGGGTGTCACAGACTTTTTTTGCATTGATTGCATTTTGAACATACACAACACAGACATTCCCGTAGTCGCCTGCAACAGCCAAGGGGACTTCCCGAGAACATCTCAGACGCTTCGCGGCGGGCTCGCCGCTCGGCGCTCTCCTCCTCTGCACCCTCCCGTCAGGAATGAGGCTTCTGTTCCGGCGAGGGAGCTCCCCCAGGACGGCCGCCTTTCTTGAAGCTGTGACGCCCCTTCGGTGTCCTCTGCCACGGAGTTTTGGCGCGAACAGACAGCTCTGGGTCCGGCGCCGATGAAGCTGAAGCAGAGGGGGGCCGCTTCGACGGCCGGTTGGAAGCAGATGAAGATCTACTACGTGCAGGGGGCTGCACTGCAGCCCGGCACGGCAGGAAGTGACTCATCGCCTTGGAGCGCTTCTGTGCCTCTGAGAAGCGCTCCGCGATAGCCTCCACCGCGTCTCCAAAGAGGCCGGATGGAGATACAGGAGCGTTGAGCAGCGCCCTCCTGTCAGCGTCCTTAAGCTCAGTGAGTGTCAGCCACAGATGCCGGTGTAGCACCACCATGTAGCCCATGCTCCGTACGATCGCCTGGGCCGTCTTCTTTATGGCTTTAAGTGCAAAATCCGTCACCGCTCGTAGATCCTTAAACGCCTCTGAGTGCGAGCCGATTGGGGCGCAGCCCACGCCTTAGCGACCTCGTCGTGCAAGTCGGGGAGGACTGGGGCTCGCTGTCCCAATCAGTCTCTCGCGATATAGTGGGAGAGGGTGTAGGTTGGGGGACAGGGAGTGTTGGAGAAGGAGGATTTTCAATGGCAGAAAAAAACTCAAGAGTGTTTTTCACTCCGAGTGAAGGAACTACGAATCCAGCTTGCTCTTAGCTGGTTCGTCGGGGGATTCCCACTCTAGACCGAGATCGCTTACGGCCCTGGTAAGAATCCGGACAAGCTCATCCTGGAACGCAGCGTGTCCCTCCACTTCAGAGCGCTCCTCTGGAGTGCGGGCCCAGTCCTTCTCGGACGCCGTTAGGGACAGCGCCTCGTCAAGATCGTCGTCGCCCCCCGCCGCACCGAACTAGATCATCTCCG